TGCAGAAGAGTTTCTTCTAAAAGAGAACAGAAACACTCAGACTGGGTGGTTATAGTGGCCTATTAGATGTTTTAACTGTCCGAATATTAAGTCTAATAACTTAAAACAAGGTAGTGTTTTCATGTCATCATGCACTGTTCAGTTATATCTTGCTGGATCACAGGCACTGTTTTTGATACTGTTTAGACTCATAGGTGCAATTCATATCTGATACATCCATGTTTATTACTAGCTTTGTGTCAGACTGCAGGTTTGTTTTTCATTACAGCAGTTTGTTCCATATCTATGTTTGTATTTACATTTGCAGACTTTATTCAGCCTAATGCGTCTTAATAAGGATTATTCATATAAGAATGTTAATTATATTTTCTTCTGACTTTCACCTAGTGGAAAAAATAACAAATATCAAGAGTAATATTTCTATGTGTTTGGTAAAAACAGATAAGGAGTAATATATATATATATATATAGGTGTCATTAGGCCCAGGATGTTTTGTTAGGTTGTATTTGAAAGGACAGTATGAATTATATATGATCTGAGATGCGTGTGTCACATTAGATTTGGGACAATTCATAGAAATCGGAAGGTGTATGGTGCATTATTTGGTTATATAAAACAGCCTGTTATAAATGGGATAAAAGTAAGAGAAATGTTTCAGGAGTTTGTGTGCGCCAGGTCAAATAAAGCAAACAACTCATAGAACACACTGAATATATTCCTGGTCATGTATTTGAAGAAGTCTTTAAGGCAACGCGACACACACTGTACGACCTGTTACTTGACTGAGTTCCCCGCATTTACAGTTTTGACTTTGTCCCTTTTCTTACACTTTTTGTATGGCAACATATTGTTTATTTTACTCTGGAAATAAATTATTTTTCAGAAAATGTGACTTTTGCATTCTTTTTCAGAGAATCATTCTTTTTAAAGAGTTGCTCTGACCAGTGTTTGGTTTGATTCTGTTCTACACAACCTACACACTACACACTTACAAACACAATGGATTAATAAAAACAAGATGGGGGGGGGGGGGGAAATCAAAAAGGGACATGGCACAACAAAATTCACAACTCATATTTCCTCAATATCCTACTGAGTGATGACTCAGTAAGATGTGAGGTATTGACCAAAAAATGTATGGACCACATAAGCACACATTACTTTTTATTTGCACAGCAGATTTACAGCCTCTAGTTCAGCTATTATTTTGTATCATTCAGTCACTATTCATCGGGGAGCCATTGACTCTTTTAGAGGCTATCAACTATGTTGCTCAATGTTTTTAATATCTAACTGTACAAATTCTCAACTAAACAAAGATGCCTGTCATCTACATCTGCCACTCATATTTTAATTGTCTTTAAAAAGCTGCAGGATTTTCACAAGCCTCGAAAGTCTACAAGAATGTATTTATATACCGTCGCACCAATTATCTACCAGCAAACATTGCTGGTAGACAAAAGAGAAGGCAGCCTGAAAAGTGAATTTGTAGTGTATAACCGCAAGATCTAAATTAAATAAAAGATAATATATAACTACCCTTAATAATGCACTAACATTTCCAGTGCTTTTTTGACCAACAGTGATTTTAAATCATTTTTTGCAATAACTCATAGATCCTATAATTGGACCGATGTGATCATCTCTCTGGACTTTTCATGGAAAAATTGACCCTTCCTAGGCAAAAATAAAAGTCATGATCTGTGGATCGACAAGCATTTGTTATTGTATTTCTTACAGCCAATACATCACCTATTTAATAACTCATCATTTTGGGAGCATGTTTTCTCCTTTTCTTTTTGATTTATTTAACAGGGACAGTACATTTCAGTTAGCCAAGAGGCTATTCATCATCTGTAGTCCCTGGACAGATTTTGTAAGTCATACTAAATACAATTTCATTTCATTCAGTAAATACAATCACTAAAAACATGGGACATACAGTATTGGAAATGTTAATAAAAAAATGAAAAAAATAATAACGATACAAAATATTAACAGTTATATTTTATTTTCTCTTATGATTGTTTTTGCTTTTTTGCCTATGCACCTGATGTCACGACCTCCATTTATTAACACAAGAATGACATGTAACAAAAAAGTTGACTGCATTTTTGTCCATATGAGTAAATGGCATGAAATAAAAGATAACATTTCTTTGTAGCCAACAACCACACTTCCAAAGTATTTCAAAAGGGTGGGGAGGGGGGGATTGGTTTATTGTGTGTAGCGGTGTTGCTTTTACACAGTGCACATTTTATGTCCTGTGAATTTTAGCTGTGAAGACTGATAAAAGAAGCTTGCACTTGAAATGTTTAAATGATTCAAAATAACAAGTCCCTCTGCAGCTCTGAGAACTGAGCCAAAACCAAGCCTTTTCTTTTGGTTCCAGAAATTCATCAAGGCAGCTTCACTTTGTCTGATCTTAACATTATCAAATACAACAAAACCGTCTGCTGGGTGGTAATGAAAAGCATAGTTTCAGTAAATCAAAGATATCATTGGGATGAAATAAATTATTCATACCGGGTAAATAATAAATCACAACTTTATTTAAAATGTTTGGCTTGTGTACTGAAGCAGCTAAAGAAGCAGCCTCTTATGAAAACAGCATGTCAGAGTAACTATAATTTCTAAGCTCAAGTGAAGGCAAAAGTGACAAAAAGGAGAGTGTGTGCTATCTTCATGTGTGTGGTTGTTAGGTGTCTGTAAAGTCTAGCAAAAACACAGACACTCCAAAAAGCCAAACATCAGGTTTATGACAACCGCTACAGTATTAGCAGCATCTGCCTCAGTTAACAGCCCTCTCTGATACACACCTCGCTCCTGATGCACGTCACATCAGAGACATACAAAATGCAACTACAACACTCGGGGGAAAGCATACTTGCTGAAAGTCAAATCACACAAAATAAGCAACCTTACTTTAAATAGAAGCTGCTGCAGGCAAGAGATTGCTGCTTTAGTCAAGCAGTTTCAATTAGCTTAATGGAAGCTCTAGACAAACTGTTGCACAACAACTCCAGAGGAAAACAATAAATCCTCTGCCGAGAGCTGTGACTGTGAGGGATATACTGTAAATGATCCAATGAATATTAATCTAGTGAAGTGAGTGAGTCTGCTGACATTTATATTTTCATGCCAAGACGCTGATTTTCAACAACAATGTCACTCACTAGGAGATGAATGCAAATGTGATGCATGCATGACAGATTTGACAGTATACATTAAGTGTCACATCACTTGTATATACATTAAGAATATTCAAAATAGCTTTAGATATTATTACAAGGATGAATTTGATTATGAGTCTTGTCATTATGCGGCCTCTCAAGGCTCCAGCTGCACCTTTCACTTTATGTTAATCTGGCCTTTAGACATGTCTGTGAAATGCAATTATGTAGATAATATATGCATGACATTTGAAAACAGACAGAGTTGACACTTTACATTTGCTTTCACTAATTGATGCCTAAAAACTGAACCCAATCCAAACACGTGCCAATGCCAGCTAGTGTGTTTTGTTTTTATCAGCCAAAAAAAGAAAGAAACTAATAGTCTCTCATACAGTATAGCTAAATGTGTGAGGTTTTCCATTTCAGCTTTGAGTGAAATATGTGTTTGTTGTCACTCCAACATCTACATTCATGTTTTACAGAGTAGCAGACATTTTTGCCAGAAACTGCAAGAAAAAGCAATCATACCCAGCCAGCTTTTTCAGGAAAAACGTTAGCCTTAGAAAATATATAATCAAAGAAATAGTAGACACAGCAGAGCCGGTGGTAGTAATACAAAGATGCTCTGATGCATTTCCTTTTCCGAGATCAGCAGTTCTGCCCGAAAATAACTGAAATATTATGAGTGATGAACAAGAACTGAGAAATGAAACCTTAAAAACATTTTTAAAAGAAGGCGCTGTCCAATATTTATGACTTTTCAACTGTAGTAGTAGTAGGCCTACTACTGTAGTTGTAGAAAGTAGTTTAACCTTTGCTTAAAAAACCTGCTCCACTAATGGAAGAAAGATTTGGATACCTTATTTAAGTAAAACAAATGATAACCAATATTTAAAAAATACTACTGCAACAAAAAAAGTGCCATCAGCAAAAGGAACCTGTTGTTGTAGCTGGTCGAGGCAGAGCTAGTTTTAAACACATTATACTCAGTCCAGTGGTTCCCAATGGAGGAGTCAGACCCCCTCTAAAGGGTCACAAAATAAATTTAAGGGGGGCGTGGGACGATTGATGGGTGGTTGGAGAGGTTGGATGAAAAACAACAGAACAAAAATGTCTCCAACACAAATTGCTATTGGCTTTTCTCTACTTGTTGCTCTTTTGTAATGATTAACTAATTGGACCATTTTGAGTCTTGAACAGTTCTTTAAAATGAAACCATCTGAGAAGTATGGATGGGAAATTAGTATTTGGGGGACCTAACAACTGGTGACAAGTTTTTACAGGCAAAAAAACATTGGGACTTAATGGTTAAATCTTGAATAATGCACAAGCTTATATTTTTTCAAGTCGAATATTGTCAGATGAATGTAGTGGTGTAAATAATATACAAAATTCTCTCTGATATGTGGATAGAAGTTTAAATATCCAAATATCTAAATACCCAAGCAAAGTTCCTTAAAAATTTACAAATGCACATTAAGTAGCCTACCCTCCAACCCTGTGACCTGATCTATAAAAAGATAGCCCCATTTAATTCAGAAAGTGTCTGATCTGGGACTCTCACTGTGAGCTTCATTGAATCTTTAACCTCTATTTAAAAAAATGCTTGCAATCAAACCTCAATTTCCACATCAGATATAATATAACCACACTCTCTGTTTGGATATGAGTGGTGCAAACCTGCCTTGTGCACCTGCCTACCTCTACACTGCGGTCACAACACCTGGAGAGTGAGAGGAAAGCAGCTGGGGTAAAGATGGAGTAGTTGGCCGCTGCGCCTTTAAGACTGCATGTTGTCTCCATCTCGCGGCTTCTATGGCAGGCTGTGTAGGTGCACGCTTTCAAAGTTTGACTGGGGAATAGCCGGGGAACAGTGGAGGCGGCATCGGGAACAGGAAATCTGCATCTGGAGAGGGGAGAGCACCACAGCTCGCGTGGGAGGGTCCGGCTCCGGCGATAAGAACAATGGGAGAGATGGCTAAGCGGATTTTCGATGTGTAAATGTGAAACAGAAGAAGGTGAATGTAACACAGTGTTCGCTGGAAGAAGGGACCCCCGGCTGTCCCCCTCAGCCGAGCCATGCCGCTCGTATTCCGCACGCTGTTGTTCGGCTTTGTAACGCTGCTCGTTGTGGTTCTCATAATAGACGATATTGCAGAAGTGGAGGAAGAAACTACGTAAGTAGCACACCGTAATGTACCTATGCATTGTGTTTGTATGAGTGTGTAAATGTGTGTGGCCATTGTTTTCTTGTCCAGCAGGTTGTCTTCCTCACAGGAACTGGAAAGTGATAGTGGTGGACTGGACATGAGTAAAATGAATGAGCTTATCTTTATGGAATTGAAGTTTGGAGTTGAATGTGGACTATGTGGTTTCTACACTTGGGTGCAGCAGTAGCAGCTGTTCCCGGGGACAGCAGCCTGCCCAGACAGGATCTCCAAGGATTTGGCTATTTGTCTTGTAGCAGACTGCATGCGGGATAGGATACATTTACACTAGAGAGTAGAGTGTGTAGTGTGTAACAGAGAAAGGGGAGAGAGGAAAAAGAGAGGGGGGATAGAGCATAAAGAGAGGAGGGGGCAACGGTAACAAAAGACGCGTTGCTCTTTTTCGTTTCAATTTCAGACTTTGAAATGTTGAGCAGTGCAGCAGATTTATTTCCAGTCACACAGATGCCCCACTTGCATTTGACCCACAAGAACATGGGTGCTCAATTTAGCACTCCAAATACTTCTGTCAAACAACAACCAAACCTCGACAGTGCAACATCATCATCCTCCTCATCATGATCATCACCGCTTTAAGATGCTTGCTACCTGAATGGCAAAATCGACTTCTTTCATGTCTCTGTGAAGCTTTTTAATTCTCACATCTCCCTTGCAGCAAGAGCATTTTGTTTTGAATGCAATTACCCGGCTGTGGCTTACGTTGTAATGAGGTCATATTGGTTTGAGATTCGCCGTGGGAGAAGAACTAGAACCAATTCAACTTCTGCATAAATGCAGCTTAACTCAATTATATCAATACATTTAAAGCCACCAGGATTGTGAAACGAGACCGGCCGTCTGTCAGAGCAGCGTTCATCTGTTTCAGCTTCTCTCTCCTTCAAGAAAAACAGCCAGCTTGTCAGGATTTCATGGACACCTGACCAAGGTCATGGTTGTAAAACAGTCTGATCTGAATGCATATACAGAATATTGACTGTAAATTATTTGTTCCTGGTGTATTTAACAATCCTGTAAAAAGATTGCTCACTTCCCCATTAAAAGAAAACCTCCATACAGTATAATGGGGCTCCATTAGGGTCACATTTCCCTTCATTACATCAGCAAAGGCCTACAGTGGATGCTTAGAAATACCTTGATGCATGCTTTCTAACAGCATTCTGTCTTAAAAGGCGGAAGTACTGTACACTTGTTATTGAATACAGTAAGTGTATTATAGTTACAGGATATGGTTACAGGAAGGGTTTGAATCATCAGTCCATTATCAACCCAAGCTCCAAGCTACAGCACGTGATTCATAATTCAATCTCTCTTTTTCTGTCTAGAAATCCTGGACATTTGAAGAAGATGAACTTGCATCGGGCCATCCCTAAACCACATAGGTCTGAAATCTAATTATTTATCTCAATTAGTTTTTTTAATGCCTTTGCAGCTTTGACAGTAAGTCATTAGTTACTTTTTTTCAGCAAGATGGCAGCTGCTATAATCACTGTGTTGGCATCCATATGTTAACAAAAACATCTGCCATACCAATACATCTAAATAAAACTGCTCTATTTTAAGTAAAATCCTCCCATTTGATATAAATTATCCTAACTTTTGTTAAAGCACAATCAAGAAAAGTCCATTCTGATTATTTGTACTGTTGGAGGAAATAATCAGATCATTTGAACATTGCATGATCTATGTAAGCATTACCAGTAAAAGTGCTGAATAACTACGTATATCTCAAGGTTTTGTTGCTAAGATCTATTCAAAGTACTCAATATGCACTAAATGTCCTCGAAGAGTGTTATATTATGTATTCAAAATCTTGCTGAACAATGTCTGTGTTAGTGGCTAAATCTATAAAATAATTGCAGTGCAAAAAATACACTTATATAATAGAGTAGGCATTTGCATAAAATAGTTCTGCTGTTTTTTACTTTTAAATGTCGGAACAAGGACCCGACATGTGTGCTTGAGTAAATGTAGGTCTTCTCAGTTACATTTCACAACTATTTCTATAAACTAAAATCACGAATTTCACAAAGGGTGCTATATTCTGACCCTAAATACCGATAGATCACCCTTAAATTGGGGGGGGAAAGGGAAGACATCGCACACTATATTGACCATTAACCAAGACTTTTAGTTTCTTATCTTATCGCTTTTAAGATCTACAGTAGTGTGTATAACATGACTCTCTGTTCTCAATTAGAAAGGCCACGGCACATGTCGATCCGACTGCTGTGACGAGAGTGAGCAAAGATGTAAAGCCTGTCGGTCCAAGCTCCAATCACACTGCCAAGCTTTCTTCAAACAACTGGACTTTTAACAAGACGCTCTCCAACCTCATCAGGCAGGCTAATCACTCTCTACAATTATCTCCACGTATTTTCACACTCTACTAAGAAGAGTCTTTCGTAACCAGTGTTTATTTTCTGTTTTCACAGAAAGAATATTCTAAGATTTCTGGATCCAGAGAGAGACATCTCTATTCTGAAGGGTACACTGAAGCCGGGAGATATCATCCACTATGTGTTTGATCGCCACAGCACCACAAACATCTCAGAAAATCTCTACCGTCTTTTGCCAACTGTATCCCCTATGAAGAACCAACATCACAAGCGCTGCGCCATTGTGGGGAACTCAGGGATCCTGCTGAACAGCAGCTGTGGGCCCGACATCGACTCTCACGACTTTGTTATCAGGTACTTTTTATTTCACAGAAACGGCATAAGTGATTTCAGGGTTGGAAGTCCTCCAATTGAAATAACTCAGAGAACATGCAAGTCAAAGTGGGCCGTATTTGAAATGGATTAGCACATTAGTTTCTGTTATAGGTTTATCTCACTTTACTTGGAGTGTAATTCACATTGGAATGATAATCACTTCCTGAAGCTCTTGGTTTAATTCAGGTTCAGAGTTTGTGCTCACACAGCAGGAAATGTATTAATTGGTCTTTCGAAAAAGCTGTCAAAGCCTTTTTTAGGATTTAAAGCTGGAAATCGAGCTGTCGGGATGAGAGCAATTAAATGTGTGATTATACATCAAACCGACATTTTGAAGAGCACACTGTGCACTCTCTGCAGTCACAAAGTGGTTGTTTATCATTATTAATTTGTCATCGGAGGTACATTAATTAGCATGGGGTTATTTTATAATGAAAGATGCAAAAACCAAGTATTCTGGTTGGGTTTCCGATTACAGATAGTAATAATCCAAAAAATAATGCAGGAGATGTGGAGACTGTGAGTCACTTCCTCTAATAAATCAATGACTTTAATGTTATATAAATGGAGCAGGAAGTATCTATCAGTGATAGCACCTTATGGAGCTGATCAATAGTTGAATAGGGCTCAAAGTCCTTTTATGTCCCTTTTTTTATTCTTAAATTGATTCTGTTGCCACCACATCTTGTCTTCCCTAAGTGCTGCAATGCTATGCTGATTTCTAGACCACAGCAGCATGACAATAACACTGGGGCTTGGCGGTAATGCTTGGCTAAAGGCAGACAACAGGAAATGTGGCATTTTGAGAAGCTGAGGAATTTGCTCTGGCATTCGTGTATCAGATTGGAAGATAAGGCCTCATCTAAATATAGCTCTCTGCCTATGCTGGGTATCCACAAAGTAGGTTGACAGTATTTTGGGTAATATGTTATATTAGTTCAGCGTTTTGATAATGTCATTGAATAATTTTCGAAAGAGCTATTTGTCTGACCTTTCAAAATGGAGTCAGCTGATGTTTCATACTTGTCATGTTTTCCATTTGCTTGGCATCTTTGAACCCAGTCTGGATATGAGCTGTTATAGCATATTTACAGAAAACTTTAAAAGCACATCCATGCATTCTTTATTTACTTTCCTTTAACTAAATAATGTTGTGTTCTCGACTTCTTTTTAAACTAAACAAACTTTTAAAAAACAACCCGATTATCTGAGTGTTCTGGAGATGCATTGTTCTCACAAAACAGTTTCCACAAGTGTGTACATTAAAACATGTTTAGTCATTAAATCAAGTGCTCCTGGTTTGTCTTCCTGCCACACTGCAGATAATAGAAATGCTTCCCAGTAAGTAATTACCTGCTTTATTTTTCTGTTATTTATTTTGAGGCCAAGGTTAACATCAACAAACAAAGTGCTGTGCTGCTTTTTCTGCCAAACACAGTTTTATTTCTGCTATTTTACTCTTAGTAGAAATACATGATGGGCAGCTTGAAGACAAAAACAGATAGCATACAAAAAAGTGTCTTAGTAAGATGTGAGCTGCTGAAAGATTAAGATTTGTGTATGGATGTCTGAAGTAAATCAACCATTGCAGATTGACAGCTTGAAGTCACTGTAATCAGCTCATGAAATGAATGGCCTATCACAGTATTGGTGGTCCATATCATTTATGTCCTTGCTTTTCTTTTTATTAAGCTCACTTGTCAATCAGGTGACTGTGAAGATCATATACATGTATGATTCTCATCATATGCATATTTATCAAACCATATACATGAATGTTTCTCTACTCTTACATGTCGTGTTTTGGACGTAATATGGTCTTTGTTTACATTAGCAAGCATCGCTAACACTCAGAGCTAACCTGTACTGGAGAGAATACATGCATAAAAAAGCAGGAAATAAAAAAAGGAACTCACCTTGTGGTAAACCCGCAAGAGAAAAAGCAGTTGAGCTTTTTGAACATCCTTGATGTGGTTTGGAACATGATGGCGTTTAATCACGGAAGAATTTAACTGTATCTGCCGGGTAATTCCGAGTAGGCATTAGCTCCCCCCTCTTTTTTTTTTCAAGCTAAGGACCCAAAATCAGCGTTTCTCTAACAGGGCTGGAATAGAGGGATATGAGGCATGGCTAGAATGTGTGATCTGTTTGGTATTTTGAGCAAAACACATAGACATGTTTTTATTTTTCTATATCTGAGACCCATAACATATGCCTAAAAATAGCATGATAGGAGACCTTTAATATGTCGCCCATCTGTACATGTCTTAAATATTTCAAGGTGATACCCGCCATGAGCAATCTGTTGAATTATTATTTTATTTTATTATGAAATGATTCCACTACACGTCACAAGCTGTCTCAGTATGTGTGTTGAAACTAATACAATTTAAAGGTATCATTTTTAGTGTTACCTTTTCAAATAACTTTCTTATATCTTAAAACTTTTAATGAGTAGTAGCAGTATGCTAGTTGAGTGCTGAGTTGGATCCTTATTATAGTCCTATACATAATTAAGAAACATGGCTTGATGTTTGCAGATGTGTCTGCTAGAAAACCTCAAGAAAAATAAACTAGATCATGGGCAACTAGACGAAGGGAAAATGTTCTCATTAGCTGACACTGAAACCCAGTGACATGTGTTCTCCTTGTCCTAAGGTGTAACCTGGCTCCAGTGGATGAGTTCTCGCAGGACGTGGGCCGGCGGACTAACCTGGTGACCATGAACCCTTCAGTGGTGCAGCGGGCCTTCCAGGACCTGGTGAGCGAGGAGTGGAGGGACCGCTTCCTTCAGCGTCTCCAGAGCCTCAGCGGCAGTGTGCTGTGGATCCCAGCCTTCATGGCCAAGGGGGGGGAGGAGCGTGTGGAGTGGGCCCTTCGTCTTATCCTGTCTCACACCGTGGACGTGCGCACCGCCTTCCCCTCGCTGCGCCTTCTCCACGCCGTCAGAGGGTAAGAGTGCTGCTTCTTTAAAGAACACCTGTGAGCAGCATAATGATGGGGTGAATAACACTAATCTATAGTCCGGACCGGGTGGCTATACTTAAACGGTGCATTAAGGCAGATCTCAAGGGCAGGATGATACTCAGTCTGTCTTCACTCACGGCCCCTACACACGGCGGCGTGCGTTACCGCTTGGCGGTGGGCGTGTCTGAAGCTTGGGGATTTTTTACGAACAACGCGACCAACAACCAATCACATGAATGTCCCGCCCCGGACATACAAAGCAAAGCATTCATGCTACATCCATGCTGGCTAAATATACTGTCTATGCTTGCTAGCTGTCCATTCAAACGAAGTACACTGGCTATAAACTCCCCAAACAGGCGAAAACCTACCAGTTTCACCCACTGTCTCTGCCACCTCCCCCCAAGCCTGGCTCCTCCGGTTTGTATCCCTGTATGTAAAGAGGGACTGGTCATATAGTACCGGGTGATTCCCTAACGCCACGATAATTTCCTCCTCCATTTTTTGACATATGGGAAATAACTGCGGTCTGGCTCTCCCAACATACATGCGGTTTGATTGGCTAGCGCTTGTGCTGTCAGATTTGCATACGCGGGATTTGATTGGCTGATGCCTCCGTCGAGGTGGCAAAAGTAGAACATTGCTCTACTTTTGCAGCGAGCACCGCGAGAGAAGCTACGCTTTGCTCCCACAATGCAGTTCGGCGAATCGTGACGTCACCCCATTCAAAGTGAATGGGCAGAAGCGTTGAAGCGGCAACGCACGCCGCCGTGTGTAGGGGCCGTCAGTGTGCACCTGAAGGCGTTCTACATAATCTTGTCTCGTCTTGATCAAGTGTGAAATGTGTCTTAGTGCGTTTCATTTTAAAAACTAATGACATAGTTAAAGCAGACATGCCAGTCTCTCGTGAAGTTAGGTCTATGTCTCTTTCTAAACTAATAGTTCAACATTTTGGAAAATTCAATGATTTGCTTTCCTATGGAGAGTTAGGTGATAAGGTTGATAAGATAATATGTTCCCAAATTGGGAAAATGTTGCCTCTTTTTTTTTGTTACGTCTCTTATATGTGTGTGTCACAATGTTGAAAATCTGAATGTTATCAAGAAAAAAAAGAACCTCATGGTGGACCTAGAGGTAGAGTTAGAGGATCACAAAAGTCGGTAGGGTTCATCATCCGGGAACCATTAATGTCCATAGAAAATGTCCTAACAATTCATTTAATTACATTTGTCGAGATTTTTCAGTGTGTTGAACAAAGAACAAACACTTAGTGCTTTTTCAAGGGAAATACATGCTTTGACCATTTCTTGTTGATTAACAGCAGGGTGCCGTGACTTCCTGGAGTGCTGTCGTCATGGTGAGGTTACCAGGCAAACAGCCGAGAAGCTAGATAAGACTGCTGAGCGGACCGATAAACTGTTGTTCATCATGGTATCGATTCTCTCATTTAACTCTCAGCAGGAAAGCAAATAAGCACATTTACTGAAATAGAGGCTTTGTTCCCTCAGGGTCTGACCACAGTGCCCTGGTTCATTCTCAGCTTTTATGCATTGATTTTGATTGATTTGCTGCTAACATTTATGAATCTGCTCTATGAAGAGATCAATTGCCGTAAGCTTAAATTATGTTCAAAATGTTGCTCTAAATCGTGTTTTTTGGATAATGTTGCTGAAAAGCAGAGATAATGAGTAATGCTGTTTAACGGTGATATAACAGGCTATTATTTGTGTGGATTTATTTTAGAACTGGATCTTTTTTGGTTAATATTTTTGCATATCTTTTCAGATACAGCCTCTACTGCCTTCGGGCTGTTATAAATTCCCTCTGTGCAATTTGTGTTGCTTTTCTGCTTCTCTGTCGTCACAACCACACTCTGTTCAGGAGCTTTGTTAAAAGCCTAACAGCCACTGATGGTCAGTGACCAAATTATGCCATTTTGTATGCTTCAACTAACCCTCAGTAAGGGATTGAACTGGGACATTATTTGTGTGATTCACAGTCTGTTTAATTAGTGTTTTACAAGAGAAGATGGTTAGCCTGAAAGATTTGTTTGAGATGAAACTGCCTTTTTCCTTTTAATAGTGGGATCGGATAATTGCTACCCCTCGCCTACCTCCTCTTCTCAGTAACTTTAGATCTCCATCATGTGCAGTGAAGGACAATAGATCTGTTCGTATTAACTCCACGTAAATGCCACATCAGAGCGTTTGACAGATAATTGGAATGTCTCCTCTGCTTGTTAAAAATCTGATCACATGCTGTAGTGTTGGTTAGACTGTAAACCTGGCCTGTGGACACGAATGTCTTTAAATAGTACAACCTCTGAATCTCAACACGACCTTCCACACTAACAGAGTGCACAGCCAGAGGGGGCAGAAAAGCCCTTGAGGCTGGAGCAATGGGCAAGTGACTTGAACAGAAAATGAAGTTGGGGCAAGTGAGAGTCTGACCGCCTCCCCCTGGAGCTGCTCCTGAAGGCAGCATGTGGTAACTCGCTGTCAAAGGAGGTCTAGGTCACATAAAGTAGAATAATGCCACTAGTGTGTGCACTTGGTTTAACATGTTTCAAAACATATCCACCTGAACAAGTAATTACATTTCATTTGTTATTTTATTCTAAGAAGTAAAACCACTGCAAATGTGGTTAGTTATATCCCTTTTTTCACAATGTAATTTCCATCATTGCAGTAGTTTGTTTTTCTGAACAGTTGGTTTGTTTCCGGCACAGATGGCTGCACTAGACTCAAGATTTTGTGCTAGGAAATGTGTTTAATTATCCTTCTTTTTAACTGTGGAAAGAAGAATAGGGCAGCAATAAATAATTGCTGTTATCAATCTTCAAAAATGTAAATACTTAAATCCAAACACGTATCTTCAGATTGTTTAATTTTCAACTGCAAAACACATCACCTCTAAGTGGTATAAAACAAATGTAAAAAACATTTTTATTTCAAAAGCAGGAACCAGAGAATAATAGGAGGTTTTTTTTCTTGTGATATTGCTGAACCAATTAAGTTTCTATAAAAAAATGCCTATGAATTAATCAGCCAACTATTTCAGCATTTTCTCTAAATAAATAACTTTCTGAAACATCATACTAAATGATGTTAAGGATATTTTTGCAGTGCAGCAAATACAAGACGGGAAAAAAAAGGTTATTTATTGATATCTGTGAGCAGCCAGTCCTTGAAACATATCTGGCGTGCTCTATATTTCTACTTGCCTGACTTCTTAGGATTCAGCTCCACAGTGCGTGCTCTGGCATACTGCGTATCTGGATTAATATCAATACCCGGAGGGAGGAGGGTCTGACTGAAGGAGATAAGTGTTGCTTCAGAGTGAATACTGACTTTAGTGTGCTACCTGAAAAAGAAGCTCTGGAGACCTTGGACATATTTTTCCTTTTTGCTTTATTATTAGTTATCGCATGCAGCTAAACGCATATTTTATGTTTCTGTGTACAGGTACTGGCTCACCAACCATGTCCACATCAAGCGTCCGACCACTGGGCTCCTCATGTACACAATGGCCACTCGCTTCTGTGATGAGATCCATCTGTACGGCTTCTGGCCCTTCTCACACGACCCGCAGGGTAAACCGGTGAAATACCACTACTACGATACTCTGAAGTACGAGTATACGTCCAGCTCCAGCCCTCACACCATGCCTCTGGAGTTCAGGACCCTGAGCGCGTTGCACAGACAGGGGGCGCTGCGGCTCCACACTGGAACCTGTGACGCCGACAGGAGACCAGAAGGAGCTCCAGAGCAAGTAGCTGACAACACATCTCCATGGAAACCACTTTAAGCAGACTTTGTGAAAAAGTGTTCTTGTTACGGTACTTTTTTGAAACTTGAATTAAGATATTTTCAGTAATTGGAATTAACTTTTTTCTATCTAAAGAAGTGACTTCTTACTTACCTCTTACTGATGTGTTTTACCTCTAATGAGATTTCTATGGCAACCTTTCAAAATAATGAGTCCCATTTTCTGTAGGTATTTTGTTGTCTTGAAACAACATTTGAAAAGGCCTCCCACGTTTTTACTATTGTGATAAATAGGAATTGAGAACACATTTTTGTTTTTCAAATTTGGTCATGAAAAGCCGTCAGTAAATATATTCCATATTAATAATATTCCCAGTTTATGATATGAAAGATCCCCATTAAGGGTGTGTAATAATTAACCCATCATGTCAACATAATGAAGAGCTGCTGAATGAATGGCTCTTGTAAGGCACTTTTTGGGCCACAAGATGGAAGCACTTCATAATCAGGGAGAAGGATGACAGAAAAATGTTGGTCAACTGTTCAAACTTTTTTTTTTTTTTAGAAATAACCTTCAACTTGTGATAAGACATTTTACTCTGAGGACATTTACGCTTTTGTAGCTTGTAAAATACCGTCAGTGGTGTTCACAGTGAAACAGGTCATTCATAAGCAAAAAACTCCAAGAGTCTAGTCAACCAGAACTGCCGTGTGATAGAGTTGGGTTACCTTGAGAGCCAAATGAAGGAGTGAAGCATGAGGAAATGTATTCAGCTTCTGTGAGGATAAAGAGGGAGTGCCAGCTGTTCACATACGATTGTTTACACAGACTCAGCCGGAAGTAAACTCGCTTTGTAAACTCTTCTCAAACAACATAAGCCCTGTTTCTGCACTGGAAATGTTAATAGGTTGTAGCTGTGTGTTGGTACTAAGAAGAGCTTAGCTTATTTCATGAATGTATTGGTGATATTCTTACAAATGCTGTAGGAAATAAGCCCTATATTGTGCTTTAAACACATTTCTAGTAACTGTTAGCAGAAGTCCCAGTGCACTGAGAGGAGTTGATAACTTGTATGCCTTCATTATTTTTTAATAATGTATGAATTATACATGTATTGTGTGTTTAGGGCTAGTATCTCAACCATTATAGATTGATACAGATATTTGTGGATTTTAGGATTGCCAGTATTTAGTGCCTATAATCAATTAATTGGATGATTTAAAATTGAAGAATTAAAAATGTTCAGGGTTTATCTAACTTGTTTTTTACATGATAAGATAGATGTAAAAAACGAACGTACATTACTTTTAATAGTGTTACTCACCACTGAAACCCAGCTATGATTGACAAAAATAAACAAAGAAAGTTATTTGATTGTAGACTTGTTCAGTAGTTGTGATCAGGTAAGAAACGCAATTCTTTGTTTATTTTAAGAACAATACCAGACACATTTGTCAGTCAATACGTTGAATGCTAGTTAGGGTTATATTTTTGTAATTTAAAGCTCCACCTTTTGTCTTTATACTGGGCTTTTTGCCAAACACTATTTTCTGCAACAAATTGCCTCTTTTAATACAAATTAACAGAAGTATTCAAATGATTCCACAAGCTCTACACAAGCAGCAGGTCATGCGCTGCCAGCCATGTGATCTGTCTGTAATAGTGTTGTTTTGACAGGATGCGCTTGTTGACTTCATGTTGGCCAATGGAGCGAGTAAAGTTAAGAATATACACAAAAGTTGTACTAGCGATGTGAGCAGTCTGAGGCAATGAAAGGCCTGTTTGTGAAGGCTGGTCTGAGATCAACAAAAATAGAAACATTCTGTGACCAATACAATTAGGTTACTTATCCCAGAATCTGGACTTTGCCACAGATAGAAAACGTTCTACTTGAGGGGATTCTTCTTTATAGTTGTATCTTGTAGCTTAACTTTAGTCATGTAGCTTTACCATATATTAGTATTTGTTCAATGTACAAATTCCAGCAACAAAATATTAACTTTTGCATGTTTTGTCTTGATGCATACCACTTGACTATATTTAAGTTTTTTTTAATACTTAAACTATTCAGTATGACTTGAGAAAACTTGAATGATGTTATGACAAAGTGAATGTACTTTTCTGTGTCAGAAAACACACAGAAGATCAGAATGGAAAGAAATAACACTTAAAACGATGTAACACTTCAAAGGAAGCAGTTTTATTTCAGTAGTGTTTCAAAGAAATGGAAACCAAGGATACAGCTGTGGGTACACATAATATCTGTGTCAAAAACCAAACAGGGACTTGAATTCAATAAACTTCCAAAACAGTTTGAACATTTAACTTATTTTGGTTTAAATGTGGGATTAGAGCAATTAGATACAGTCTTCAAATAGCTACCACAATGACGTTAATTCATTTTACAACAGGAACTGTCTGTAGCAGATCATTCAGTTCTAATAAAAGTACAGAAATAGCATCTTCAGACGAGCAGGGTTTTTCCACAATTACACGCACAACTAAAGATAAAATAATAGACGGTGACAAGATGGAGGAGGATAACTGTTCAAGGGTGATAGTCCCCTGAGACACACTAATGGAGCTGCAGTTTACTCCACATACAGTAAAAAACATACATGAAACAATATCGAAAATAACAGTGGTCATATCATCTGATGGAAACCACAGGAAATAGCCAACATTCTGCTAAAGGACATGATATAAATCACATGATCGAAAGTTTGAATCACTTTCAAAAACCGAATCATACATTCACACACACACCATATCACTTGTATCCAGTCTTCTGTAAATGTCAACAAGGAAATAAAAATACAAAACGTTCTTTCTCCCGGAAAGAAAATGCAGTACGAGTCGGGCATTGCAGTTTTTTTGTTAACTATGGTTGGAGGTCATTCAGAAGCAGCTGCAGCCGTATGCCATTTTGCACTATCAAATAACAGTTTGGATTAAAAACAGAAGGTCACCTACAATACCCACACTCACATTTGCTGCAGAAACCTAATCTAGGTGCACTCTGCTACGTAGTTGCTGTAATTACATTTAGGGCACAAACACAGACCAGTTTGTGAACATGACGGCTATTTATTTTCTGCCCTTTATACGAGATTCTTGGTTGATTATTGTGTATTTGGTATTTGAATTAAAGATATAACAACCTCAATGTTTTCATTTTTTATAGTGAATACTTATCAATCAAATCAATGTTAAAGGTCACATTTCCTCAACACTCTTTCTCAAAGCCAGTTGAAGAAACTGTTTCTACCAGAGTCCATTTGGCACAGGGAATGTACTCTTAAGGGGGAAAAGACTGAGTGCTTTTCAGGTTAGACATTACAAGAGTCAGTGGGCCATTAATTGCCATTCTTGAGGGAGACTTTCCATTATACTTTACTAGCGCCTCGTCTACTATTTTAAACAGATACCAGATTCTGGGGATACTTTTAAATTGAAATAACATTGTTTTGGTTTAGAAAATAAGACACTGGGTGCATGTAAATACTGTTACATCTCTGTGTTGTTTTAAACCTGTTGGGATTGTTCAGTGGTTGCTAAATTGAATGACGTCACTTGACTGAACATACCCAATCACGTAACAGATTACTCCATCATATTCATATAGCAAATGGATGTTTTCCATTAACACCTTACAAAATACCCTGACTATATTATTTGAGATTTCTTATCAAATTTCAACATCTTAAAATACGCAAAACTTCAGCTAAGATAGCAGCAAAACAGGACAACACATGGTAAAAAAATATACGCTTACTCCATACATAAGGACAGACCGCCGTCCACAGTATATGCACATTTAAGTGGTTAGTAGATAGAAATATATTTGGTATGAAAGTTTAGTTAAAAATATCCATTACAGAATATCAATAGATTCTTCCTAGTGTGCAAATGCTTGAATAAAGTATTCTCTGCACATTATTTGTTAACATTTTATGCATCATCTGATGGTTATAATATGGGAGGATTATATTTTAAAAGCAGACGTTGGATCCTAAACTCCTCAGACCAACACAATGTAGCTCAAGTGTCAAAATGAAATGACTTTAAAATGTTTTTTCCAGGTAATTTCCACGTTTTTATAAAGACGATTTATTAAATGACTGTTGAGAAACAGTCACAAAATGAAGCACTCTGATCTCTAATATCAAAAAGTATTGTGCAGGTTATTTGTGCCACATGATAGAAGCGTCAGTGAAGCAGCAAACTATGATATCCATGCAGCTCCAGTCCTTTAACACAGATAAAAGCCATGCACAAGCAGCATATGAAGTTGCTGATTTGATAAGACTTGAACAGCACAAACATACAGAAAATCACTTGAGTTGTTCCAGGCAAAACAGGAGTTATCCAATGTTGATGTCCATGCCGGCATTCACCTGAAAAAAAATAACTGTTACTTTACATATTTGAATACGTTTTTACAATACATATGATTACGTGGAAATAATTTAGCCTGCTGTTTCCAGTCTGACTAGGAATTCAGGAATGTCAGGTAAACAGGACGTCATATCTCCCTTTCAGGAAGTGTTTGTGTGTTAAAGAACAATGGAAAGAACGGAAGGGTGAAACCTTATATCAACATTAGATGAACTAAAACAATAGTTTTTCAAAATAGTGTTTCTTCAAGAGAAGCAAGCAGGAAGTACACATTTAATGCATACTTTTGAAATTCCCATACTATCAGTGTGGTTTTTAATAACAATCCTTTACCTCAAATGTTTGTGAGCATTATAAAAGTGCTATAGATAGTCCAAGAAAAGCTGTGAGACACTCCTATATCTGTTTTAGTAGCATATGCTTACTCACTTTGCTAAAAAGGTGGTGCCACCAAGCAGCTTTTATTAATCAAAAGAGATTTGCGGAGAGCTTTACATAGGGAAATCAACTTTAAAACACGTCATGGCTAGTACAACTGAGTAAAACTAAGATGAGCAAAAGCAGGCAATTAAATAGTACAAAAGTACTGTGTACTGTTCAGTTTTTACACTAATCTTTGAAGTGGAATAGGTTTTATATAGTCCAACCCTTACAAAGAAACACTTTGACTTGAGAGACATATTCTGTACAGATACATTTCGGTAGAAATAAAGGGCCAGAGTGTAAATTATGGGCTAGCATATTATGCCCACACTCTACAGAGGTTAATATCTCCTCTCTATCCACAGGGAACCATAAACCTAACTTCTCTGATATAGATTCAAGATTCAAAAGGTTTAATGTCATATCATACATGCAACTACAGTGTATATAAATATATACAATACATAACATCAATTATGAAGGATATATAGGATTAGACCTGCAATCGTCAATCGGGGAGTTTCTTCAAAGGAGTATTTAGAATTGTAAAAGAACAAACCTGTATTTGACATCAAAGAGGGTTGAGTCGTCCTCATCATCATTCTCCTCATTTAGAGGGGCCATCTCCACACGTTCAGCGGGGGTCGTTATAATGTCATATTTTCTTGTTTTTCTGATTCTTCTCCCAGATCTGTTGGGAAGAAAACATTGGCAAACATGAGTCAAGCACAAGTTTTCAAAATGTCATAATGTAGGCTGACTGACTACACCACATCAGCTGTAGAGCAAATTTATAATGTTTCCAAATTGTGACGTTTAAAGTGGTAACATGCTTAGTTCTCACAATCATAATAATGTTTGGCTCGGATGGGCAGTTGACATATATTTCAATTGTATCGCTACCAATATGATAATTGATTAATACATCTAAATGCTAAATATTCTCGATTTACACCTTTTCAGATGTACTGTTTTGTCCTGTTTTATATATTTGTAAAGCCATTTCAACACAGCACATTGGGCTCTGCCTTTTTTGTTTTTACTCTCCCCCAATATTTCATAGACTAAAATAACCATTGATTAATTGATAAAAGAATGACCAGATTCATCTAAAAATAATCATTAATTGCAACCCTAGTATGAAATATGAATAAACAACCTAAACAAGAATACACGTGATGAATGTAAAGATGACTGTGATGTTAGAACTAACAATATCATATTCTTCACATAGGTCAAAGATAAATAAGGACAGAAAATATCTGACATAAAGCACATCGGGATGTCTATCTAAGTGGCTCCTCTACACTAGACTCCCTGTAGGAACATTATACATAGGCCCAGACACAACCACATGCTCCTAATCGATTCATTTACAAGGAACACCACAAAGAGCGACATTTATACCATACATTTCTTTGACTGCATCACTGTAAGGCTTCTTATTAAAGGTAAACCGTAAACAGATACATCAGCCTGCTTGCAGCTTACCTGATCACTTTGATGACCAAGCATGTGATGAGAACAGCTGTTAGCACGCAGATGAAAATAACAATGTTTTTCAGAGTGGGAAGATGCGTCATTATAGATGAAATCCGGGATCCCACGGCGGTGTCTGTCACATTATGTGTCATTTGATGTTCGCTGATGGTGGAAGATGATGTTGAGTTGAGCAGCGTCGCCGGTGAATAAGGATGTATTGGTACGCCACTGACCCGCCAAATAGCCGCGATAATTAAAGACAAACCGAGATTGTAATTCACCATTGTGCTGAGATAAAAATAAAATGTAAGAAGGAATTTATTTGTGTAGTTTCTCCCAACTAGATGAAATGCGACAGCAGCTGTCACATTATAGGAGGATTGGCTTATCTCTGTCAGATGTGGCTATTTACACAATAATGCGTAACGCAAATATCCATCTCCTTCCTCGTCCAAGCTTTTCCTAATGCTGGAAATGTAGGTCTTAGCCTGCATTAACTTCTAAAAACGTGTTTCCTTTGAGGTGAGTTATAGTTATTCCTTCCTGATTGCATTAGAAGTGTAGAGATGGGGATTATCCGCCTCCGGAAGAGCTCTGCAGGCTGGCCCTCTGCTCCCGGTGCTGAAGGTGCTGAAGAGGAGTATTTTGTGGATTTGTGATGCATTCAGGGCAGCCTCGGACTTCCTAACACTCACAGATCTGCTGTCAACAAGACTTAGTTTGGCAGCTGCAGTCGACAAGTTGTTTAGGTGGCTTATGTTTGATTACTCATTTAAATAAATCTACCATCAAATTAACAAGACATATAGATATCTAATAGTAATCAAATATTTTTACATAAATCCAAAGTAAGCCTTGAAGAAGCAATACCGCAGTAGGCTACTGAAATACTAAATTACAAGTAAAAGTCCTTAATGTAATGCAAAATCTTGTGTTCGGGTGTCTCACGTGACCCGTTTCAAGTAAAAATTATATAATAACCACGCTCTAGTTGTTTTTATCGGAACAAGGCTTCATGATATCCTCCATAACAGCGTTAGCTATATAAACACTACAAAACTGATTTTGACAATTTTAGCCAAATCTGAAGGTCTCTAAAATTGTTGTGGGTGACTCTGGGTCAAATTTGGCCCAATCAAGATTCATCTTTGACTTTAGATATTGCTTGAATATAATTGTTGATAAATGTATGTTTAAATATAACTGATGATGCAGATGGTAAAGCTAGGGCTAATTGTTTTTTTTCATGTTTTTAATGGAAATTAATCCAGCATAATATATCACAAATAATGCGTTGATTTATATTTTGTAATAATACGTAGAATCTGCAAAGTAACGACTTTTGTCATATAAATAATGAGTGAAAAGTACAATATGCCAGCCCAAATGTGATGGAGAAAAAGCTGCATAAAATTGAAATGCTGAAGTTATGTTCAAGTACCTCAAAATTGGACATAGGTGCAGTACTGGATTTAAGTACTTTGAACACCAGGAAAAGCGCTTTATGAGTATATGTACTTTCACCACTGCACCTATCGAAACAGAAAAAAACACTAAACGTTTATGTTAGCCCTATATATCTCATATATTTTTGATATATGGAAAGGTTGGGAAACAGTGGGCTAACTTTTAGACATTCCCCACTATTGAATGTTAGGTTTGGTGCATGTAGTTGAGAAGGTCGTTTATTGTATACTTTTATACAGGAAGGCCTTGTGTTTAATGTTATAGTAGGATGGCCTGTAAACAGGATTTCAGGTCACTCCCAAAGCATATTTTTATTTCCTTCATGTTTAGCCTACATATTTTTTGTTAAGTAGCCTACATATTTTGAAAGAACAACGTCAACCTGTGTAGTTATCT